GTTTTATAGTCAGTGTAATTCACTCTTGTAGTTTTATAGTCAGTGTAATTCACTCTTGTACGGTAAAGTAAGTGATGTGATGGTGTGAAGAAATATTGCTTTATTTGAAAATATAATATCTGCCTTACAATGATTTTCAAAATAAATTTATTTTTTGTCTCTCATTGCTTCATACCTTAGTGTATTATTCGCTTTTAACTATATGCGTAGTGTTTGATATTTTATTTTTATCCCTAAAACCCAAGGTCTTGTTGATACACAAAATAACAGAAATTCTACATATAAATTTCTACACACTTGTTTGGTTCTTTTTTTCTACATTTCTCATAGGATTTGTGACCAGAGAAGATAAAATCTATTAAATAGTTTATGATTCTGCAGTCCCTATATACCAAGAACCTTGAAAATTAAATTCCAAATGTAATTAGAAAAATTCACACAGAATTTTACAATGTAATTAGATCAAGAGAATATAACTGTTAGTTCATGTAGGTTCTACAAGTTTTTCTTTAAGAAAGAAAGTTATTTATTCATAGTTTCTCTTAGAGCTCCATTAAAATATTCTTACTGTTAATTTTTACAAAAGTATTTTCTCAGTATTTATTTATTATGGTAATTATCAATTACACTGTACAGGAAACTGTGTGAATGTGAAGATGAAATTGAATTGGTTTATTAATTTAGCTCCAAAATATCGTTATTGTGATAACTAACACTTTTGTTAAAATCAATAGCATGTATTCTATAGAAAGTAACATGCTCTGGTTGCTTTGTACTTTGTATAAAGTCTAAACAGCACTTTAAAACCTATTCGTTTAAACATATACCCACTTTTTCATCTTCTTACTGTTGTATTTGACCTGAAGAGCTATGGAGACTAAATAGTCTGGGTCTGTCTCGCACTTTGAGGGCATCTCTTTTTGAAAATACTGTAAAAAAACACAACAAAAAACAATTATCTTAATTATTGGTAACATGTAAATTATACTTTTGACCTTTCAGTACATAAGTAATTTGTTATGAATTTCGGGCAAAGCTACACGAGGGCTATCTGCACTAGCCGTTCCTAATTTA